ACCTTGCCATATGGAAAAGGCTTTCCCGAAAGACATGTATGAAATACTATGCACTACGGACTTGGGTCAATTTAGAGTGAAAGGGCATTCCCTGATTGGCTTGTATGAAGTGCTTACGTCAGGGATGGGTATAATACACCAAAGATTTAGTTATGGTGGGAAAGGTTTCTCTGATTTTCATGGACGGTTTCAACTATTTTTTGTACCTAGTTATTTAAGTCAAATATAGAGGAAGTTTATTCAAAAGAGGAATAGTAAAGGGACCTGGGTAAGTAGACAGAAAAATATCAAAGAGACTCGCCCTTACATATCAACTAAATTGGAGCGAGTCTCTTTGATATACCGAGCGGTATGACCTAGAGGTTTATACCACTGTTGAGAATTCGGGACGATCCCAGTTATATTCCGGATCCATCTGCCCTTATCCAAGTTTTTCTATGTTTTCCTTTGTTCACTGAGGCAAAACCTGAGATGGTAATATTCCAAAGATAATCATTCACTCTTTTCCGTCTTCATTTCATCCGTTTTATCTTTCTCATTGCAGCCACTATCCACCCATTCATAAAACAAGTTGTAGAGGACCTCCCGCCTGCCCGCCCACCAATATTAGTACCTGGTGGGAATGCAACACCCAAAAAGCTTCTTTTTTCTTAGATACTACTCAAGAAGGACCCTGATCCACATGTGTAGAGTGCAATGCACCTTGGACTTAAGTTAGGATATGATGTGAGACTATTCCTTGATTAGCTCGTATTAAGTGCTATGTTAAGGTTAGTATATAATGAAGAAGGACTCTCTGATTAGCTTGTGTCATGTACCATCTACCAAGTACCATGCACGAAGAGTTTAGTTTCAGTTGTGATGGAAAAAGTTTCCCTAACTGATTGGTTGGATTAAGTTATAATGAGAGGACACCCTCATTAGTTTCTGTAAAGTGCCACGAATTATGCAGTTACATTAGGCTATGGAGAAAAAGCCTTTCCCAAGTGACATGAGTGAAGTGCTATGCACTGTAGACTTAAGACAGATAAATGTGAAAAAGCATTTCCTGGTTGTCTTGTATGAAGTGCTTTACATCAGGGATGATTATAATTCACCAAGAATTTAGTTATAAAAAGGTTTCTGATTTGCACGGACGGTTTCAACTATTTTTAGTGCCTAGTTATTTAAGTCAAATATAGAGGATGTGTATTCAACAAGGGAATAGTAAAGACAATTAGGTAAGTAAATTAAAAAGAATCAAAGAGACTCGTCCTTACATATCAAGTAAATTGGAGCGAGTCTCTTTGATATACCGAGTGGTATGGCCTAGAGGTTTATACCACTGCTTAAGATTCGGGAAGATCCCAGTTAAATTCCGGATTTGTCTACCCTCATCCTAGTTTTTCTATGTTTTCCTTTGTTCACTGAGGCAAATCCTGAGATGGTAATATTCCAAAGATAATCTTTCACTCTTTTCCGTCTTCATTTCATCCGTTTTATCTTTCTCATCGCAGTCACTACCCACCCATTCTTAAAAGAAGCCTGAAGAGGGGCTTCCGCCTGCCCGCCAACCAGCATTAGTACCTACTGGGAATGAAATACCCAAAAACTTTTTTTGTTTGATACTACTCAAGAAGAGCTCTGATTCACACGTGTGAAGTACTGTGCACTTTAGGCTTAAGTTAGGATATGATGTTAGAGTATTCCTTGATTAGCTCGTATTAAGTGCTATGTTAAGGTTAGTATATAATGAGGAAGGACTCTCTGATTAGCTTGTGTCATGTACCATCTACCAAGTACCATGCACGAAGAGTTTAGTTTCAGTTGTGATGGAAAAAGTTTCCCTAACTGATTGGTTGGATTAAGTTATAATGAGAGGACACCCTCATTAGTTTCTGTAAAGTGCCACGAATTATGCAGTTACATTAGGCTATGGAGAAAAAGCCTTTCCCAAGTGACATGAGTGAAGTGCTATGCACTGTAGACTTAAGACAGATAAATGTGAAAAAGCATTTCCTGGTTGTCTTGTATGAAGTGCTTTACATCAGGGATGATTATAATTCACCAAGAATTTAGTTATAAAAAGGTTTCTGATTTGCACGGACGGTTTCAACTATTTTTAGTGCCTAGTTATTTAAGTCAAATATAGAGGATGTGTATTCAACAAGGGAATAGTAAAGACAATTAGGTAAGTAAATTAAAAAGAATCAAAGAGACTCGTCCTTACATATCAAGTAAATTGGAGCGAGTCTCTTTGATATACCGAGTGGTATGGCCTAGAGGTTTATACCACTGCTTAAGATTCGGGAAGATCCCAGTTAAATTCCGGATTTGTCTACCCTCATCCTAGTTTTTCTATGTTTTCCTTTGTTCACTGTGGCAAATCCTGAGATGGTAATATTCCAAAGATAATCTTTCACTCTTTTCCGTCTTCATTTCATCCGTTTTATCTTTCTCATCGCAGTCACTACCCACCCATTCTTAAAAGAAGCCTGAAGAGGGGCTTCCGCCTGCCCGCCAACCAGCATTAGTACCTACTGGGAATGAAATACCCAAAAACTTTTTTTGTTTGATACTACTCAAGAAGAGCTCTGATTCACACGTGTGAAGTACTGTGCACTTTAGGCTTAAGTTAGGATATGATGTTAGAGTATTCCTTGATTAGCTCGTATTAAGTGCTATGTTAAGGTTAGTATATAATGAGGAAGGACTCTCTGATTAGCTTGTGTCATGTACCATCTACCAAGTACCATGCACGAAGAGTTTAGTTTCAGTTGTGGTGGAAAAGGTTTCCCTAACTGATTGGTTGGATTAAGTTATAATGAGAGGACACCCTCATTAGTTTCTGTAAAGTGCTACGATTTATGCAGTTACATTAGGCTATAGAGGAAAAGCCTTTCCCGGGTGACATGAGTGAAGTGCTATGCACTATGGAGTTAAGACAGATGAATGTGAAAAAGCATTTGCTGGTTGTCTTGTATGAAGTGCTATACATCAGGGATGATTATAATTCACCAAGAATTTAGTTATGAAAAGGTTTCTGATTTGCACGGACAGTTTCAACTATTTTTAGTACCTAGTTATTTAAATCAAATATAGAGGATGTGTATTCAACAAAGGAATAGTAAAGACAATTAGGTAAGTAAATTAAAAAGAATCAGACAGACTCGTCCTTACATTTCAAGTAAATTGGAGCCAGTCTCTTTGATATACCGAGCGGTATGGCCTAGAGGTTTATACCACTGCTTAAGATTCGGGAGAATCCCAGTTAAATTCCGGATTTGTCTGCCCTCATCCTAGTTTTTCTATGTTTTCCTTTGTTCACTGAGGCAAATGCTGAGATGATAATATTCCACAGATTATCATTCACTCTCTTCCGTCTTCATTTCATCAGTCTTATCTTTCTCATTGCAACCACTACCCACTAATTCTTAAAAGAAGCCTGAAGAGGGGCTTCCGCCTGCCCGCCAACCAGCATAAGACCTACTGGAAATGAAATACCCAAAAACCTTTTTGTTTGATACTACTCAAGAAGAACCCTGATTCACACGTGGGAAGTCCTATGCACTTTAGGCTTAAGTTAGGATATGATGTTAGAGTATTCCTTGATTGGCTCGTATTAAGTGGTATGCCCCGTGGACTAAGGTTAGGTTATGATGAGGAAGAATTCTCTGATTAGCTTGTGTCATGTACCATCTACCAGGTACCATGCACCAAGAGTTTAGTTTCAGTTGTGGTGGAAAAAGTTTCCCTAACTGATTGATTGGATTAAGTTATGATGAGAAGACACCCTCATTAGTTTCTGTAAAGTGCTACGAACTATCCAGTTAGATTACGCTATGGAGGAAAAGCTATGAGTGAAGTGCTATGCACTATGGACTTAAGACAGATGAATGTGAAAAAGCATTTCCTGATTGTCTTGTATAAAGTGCTCTTTACATCAGAGATGATTATAATACACCAAATATTTAGTTATGGAAGGAAAGGTTTCTCCGATTTACATGGACGGTTTCAACTAATTGTAGTACCTACCTAGTTATTTAAGTGGAAGTTGTCAGATGAATAAGTTAAAAAAACATAGTTGTTTCAATTACAATCTACAACTAAAACAATATACTCTGTACGTATTGAGTTTTTATTAGTCAATTATTTTCGTTTGCATGATTCATCTTCTTTGTGCGTAATGGAAAAGAAAATAAAAAAACTAGATATATCCCACATCTGCTGTTCTTCGCTGGATGAATAGTTGAAACCATTTAAGATTATGCGGCAAATGATTACATCACCAAAGAAGTATGTATACAGTCATGGTTTTACATTAGGTGTTTCGCACAGTATATGTATATGTAATGGTAATGATGGGATCATCTCTTGCACAAGTTTCTTGCGCCAAATGTCACTGTCGATTATTGTTAAAGAAAGCGGTCTACAGCTTTTAAATGTCAAATACGAGTGAATTATTGCGATAATAAAATAGGTGAAAAAAGTGTCACGGCTCATTAACCGTTTAATCTTGTCAAAATTTATGTATATTAACACCTTTATTATGCGTATGGTTGATAGTAGGTACGTGCATTCAAAACATGGGTACCTAGCAAAAGCTTGGTTTAAATGGAATTACTTTCACAAAAATGCGGAGTCAAAAATAAAAAAAAACCCTTTAATAGCAAATTAGTAATAATATAAGTAAATATTTGCATACACTCTATGTACATTGTACATACGTATAATACGTACGTGTGCTATGTAGATATATCACCATCTGCCTATATTATAAACAAGAAATTATCTGTATCCACTAAGGTGTTAGACTCTTCAGTTTCTGAAGGTCGCTACAATATAACTGTTTCTCTGCAAATTACCCCTTTGTGACTAAAATATCTACGCAAATTCCGAACTACCTACATAACATATAAGTGTGCTACGTACGGTGGCAACACAGAAAGGTTGAAAATAAGATAACGTTGGTCGGTTGTGGTTGGCACGCCCAAATCACGCAAAATAATGAAAAAACCTACCTTAATAATAAGCTCGATTTCCGGAACGTCTCCATTTTCATGTCCATTTTCCGTTATTTCGTCAGACATTGTGTAAAAATCACTTATAAAGGCACTGGTAAGGTTTTTGACTACCACCAACACGAACCTCAAACTTGACTGTTGAAAAATTGCAGGACGTTAGTGAACAACACTCACTTTATTTCAGTTACAAACCAAAATCTTTTCGCTCTGGCTCTCCTGGATTCGGTTAACGATAGCTTGGGCTATTCTCTAATAGAGGACGCCAGTATAACGATGAAGCGTTTAAAATTATTTTTAGAAACAAATTTAAATTTTTAATTTTGCAATCAAAATGACATTAAATTATTTTATTATTACGAACTTATGACATTTATATATTGACAGAATTATGAGAGATACCTATAAATTGTTCAATTTTTTGAAAATATTAAATTTTTAGTTTATAGCGAAAATTAATAAAATTGAAAATTTACCAAAATGTGTGATAAAGAGGAAGAACCGCCTGGAGAAATACAATTTAGAGTTATTGGTATTGTGACAAGTAAAGATTTTCAAAAATGTCGAGCATACGCTGAAAGGCTCCACAGGAACATTCCAAAACTTTATGATAAACCTGATATTCGACCAATTTTGGATGTTGAATGGGGAGAATTCAAAAACAAAGTATTTATATACAATCCTTGATGGTTTCTACATTTATATTCATTCCAATTGTTTCTTTTGCCATCAGGTACGAAGAACTGTAGGGGGCCGAAGCTGGGAAACGGATAAAGAAGTTGCAGTCTTTGTAAATGACAATTATATAGGAGATTATGATGATTTTATAGCACACATTTCACAAACATACTCTTTTCGGATTTTTGAAGATTGGACTAAACTTGGTCATGAGCAGTTAATAGAAATTATAGAGCAGAACCAATCTAATAATGTAAGTTAGAAAGTAATGAAGTTTATTTTTGTTCTTACGTTTTTATTATTTTTAGAGAACCTAATAGAAATAAATGAAACAGCCCTATCAAATATAATGATGAATATTTTTTTATTGTTTACTGTAACTTCCTCACCGATTATATATTTTTTTTTCATAAGGCTTTTAGAGTTGGAATCCATGGTCATGGTCTAAATAAACTAGTAAGTTCAGAAGTTTCAATGACAACCGCCTGACATCTTCATTAATACTGCATTGACAATGTGTACGAAGGAATCAGTTTATTTAGACCACGACCTTTTATTCCAAATCATAATTCTACCATTTTTTTCCATTTTCAAAACAAAAAAACAAGCACACTGTAAAGTTACAAATATTTATTAGTAACCCACAATAAGTATTGCGCAACATTGTAGCAATTTCTTCAGGTGAAAGACCAATACGTTTCTGAGACTAAACGAATTTTCACTTTTCCGTTTTCATTTTCACTACCTGCTAATACTAGTAGGCCAGCAGTTCTCCTAACCCAGACTAGTACAAAGCCTCGCTGGAAGGTCACTTTGGCTTCATTTTGAGAATCGTAAAAACGGGTGGGCTGGGAGAGAATTGATTTACATAACGAGATTCCAATTATCCAAGTATTATTATTCAAATCATATGATGGTACATGTATTTCAAAGTTATTTGAGAGGTACTTGATAATGAAGTTTTGTAGTGTTAATTCCAAGTATGAGTGAATTAATTTTATCCACTACATATAACCTTAAATTAAAGAGATACAATTGTTGGTGCTGTTACTCCCTTGCCTGAAATCGAAACCATTACTCTACCACTAAACTACAAAGAGATAACAGCAGCAACACTAACGATACGTACCTAAGAGTACCTATAGATCGCACAAGGGTCAATTACACATTAGTTCGAAGGCTCGGAATGGTTTCCTTGAGTTTCTCTTGATAATTTCATGATTCTCCCAGTCATCATCATAAGGTCGTCAGTCCTAAGACTGGTTGGACATGTACCTCCATTCTTTCCTATCCTCAGCTAATCTTCGCATTTCCCTGAAACTAGAACAACCAACATCCTTAACTATCTGCGAAGTGTAATCTAATCTAGGTCTTCCTCTACCCATCCTAACTTCCGTTTCTGCCTCTAATATGTCTCTGACTGGACCTTCGTGCCTGACAAGGTGTCCTACCAACCTATCTCGCCTGTTTCTTATTGAGATCCATAAAGTCCTCTATTCTTCTGCTTTTTCTACTACCTCTTTATTTCTAATTTTCTTTATCCACGGTATCCTCATCATTCGTCTGCAACAGCACACTTCGAACGCTTCTAACCTTTTATTTTCCGCTGCGCCCACTGTCCATGTTTCGCGCCCGTACAGCGTCGTGCTTCAAACATACACCTTTAACAACCTTTTCCGAATTTCTAAATTTACGAGCATAGAAGAAGATTGAAGGCGACTCGATACTGCGCTATCCTCTGCTTTATATCGCCTACTACGCCTTCCGTCCTGACTTCTGACTCCCTAGATACCTAAAATCGGCCACTTCTTCTAATTTTTCGTCTCCAATCTTTATATTCGTTCTTTCTCAACTATTCCTTCCCTTGCATACCAGCATTTTTGTTTTGCTTTTATTTATTTTCATACAGTACTGCTTTATCAATACCGCTTCCATTTTATTTAAAGCTATCTCTAACTCCTCCTTGCTAGATGCTAATACTGCTATATCATCTGCAAATCTAAGCATACTAATCTTTTGCCCCTCTACATCTATCCCTACAGTTGTACTGTCTTTAATGATGTTGATCGCGTGTATAGATTAAATAAATACGTTGTCTGTCAAGTCGGTAGGATATAGAGAAGGAGGTAAATGGAAATCACAATTGAATTGATCAAGTTACATTTATTTGTACGCATAAATACAATTATGTCAATTTTTATTTATTTTTTTTCCAATGTACATAGTTTTTACAAGTATGAATGTGCTTTGAGCAATTGTTTTACAACTTTTATTTACAACTTTTAAACATCATTAAAATTTTTGTAACTCTAGCTTCAATTCGACAATATATCACTGAACATATATTTAATATCGAAAGAATCATTACCTTTATCGCCGCAATTATCGTTGCTATAAACAATTGACACCACATTCACTTTTCACTGCACTTCATACTTGACGAAAACATGTAAATGTATTATTGTATAGCAGCTGTCCACGCGGACGCATCGCTCACTCAAGTAGGAGAGAGACAGATGTCGAACGTTGCCGAACGCGGAGGCCGATTGTGCCTCTTTGTCGCTCGTTCCGCGCTCTTGCTTGCACTTCAAGCCTTAAATAGAACGCCTCAGAGCGAGGTAACGCCGCATGAGGCATGTTTTTCCGTGCGTGCAGCCGGGCTCCATCGATTTATAAGACGTTGTCACGTCAAAAAGTAGCGGTCACAGTGCGCATCCTTGTCTGACTCCCTTTCTAATATTTACTTCTCTAAGTTGCTGCCCCAGCTCTACAACTGCCTGTTACTCTTTATACAAATTAAGTATTACTCTTCTATCTCAGTAACTCATCCCAACATTTTTAAGTATATTTTATATCTTATCCCATTTAACATTGTCAAATTCCTTTTTTAAATCTGCAAATCCTATGTACGCGCACTTTCCGTTCTCTATCGTTTTCTCTATTGTTACCCGAAAAGCTAGAATGACTTCTCGCATTCCACTATTTCTTCTAAACCCAAATTGGTCTTCCACTAATAGTTCTTCTGCCCTTTTCTCCATCCTTATCTGTACAATTCTAGTTAAGAGTTTTAACACGTAGGAATAATACCAGTTTTTTAATAAATCAGACATTTTCGAATTTTTTATAGGGTTAAATTCAATTCATTATTGAATTAACTTTTCTTTTTTAATTTATCCAGCTTTACCCATTACCTACAGATAACCTCCAATTAATGGGGAAATAGAGTTTCTTCTGTCACTCCCTCGACGGGAAACAAACCCGGGCCACTGGTTTTATACACCAGTACGCTACCACTAAGCTACCAGGAGGCAACAGTAGCAACACCAATGATACGTACTTAAAAGTACTTATAGATTGCAGAATTGTCGAACCAATGTATAATCATTATTAGTAAGGAGACACATGAATTAACATTACCCTCTACAAATAACTTCAAATTAATAAGTTTTATCAGTTTTTTAACATGGACCACACAATAATATATAAACGGAGTATAATCTGATGATGTAGAAGCTGTAAAAGGAAAAGCGGATCTTGTGCCTTGATTCTATTGGCTACTCATACTGAGCTAGCAGTACGTCATTTAGGCTGTCACCATGACCATATTTTGATTTATTTGGTTAAGACCAAATTATGTGACAGTTGTGTGTAGAAGCGTTAAGTTATTCTAGGACGGATTGTAATATAATAATAAATTATATTGGTACATGTATTTCAAAGTTATT